AACTCGAGGGTTTGACGAGGGAAGTGTCCTTGACCACCGAAGAAAGGGGCCAGCTCCCGGCCAGCGTGCAGGCTTGGGCAGCTTCTAGGCCTCCTCGGCGCTCCAAGGAGCTTTCCATTCTGTGGCTACTCTCCCTTCCTGTCCTCTCTGAAGGGGAAGAGGGAAGGAAGAAAGGGAGGGGAGGAGGGAGGGAGGGCAGTTTCGAAACAAAGTCACGTGACCACAAACTCCATCCCCTTCTTCATTAGGGTCGCTTCCACCTCGCTGCCGTTGGGGTTGCAAAAACAGAGGCCACGTGTCCAGGACTTGCATCTCTGGCCTCGTGAGAGAGGAAGATCCCTCCACTCCAGAACTGTTCCCTTCACCTCCCATCGAAGTCTCTATAAATTCTCCATTTAAGCGCCGTTAATGATCTAGACCTTGGAAGATTTCCTGGGTTTAAGGGTCTAAGGAAGCTGAACCTGACAGCGGGCGGGCAAGAGAGCGGCGAGGGGCGGGGGCGTGTCTGAGGCGTGTTCGCCCACTTCCTGGACCCCGCGGCCGGGCCTGGTCACGGACAGGACAGAGAAGGCTGATGCAGAGAGCCCAGCGCGTGCATTAATGGTCTTGGATACAGTTAGCTCTCTCTCCCCTCCCAGCTGCACTAACCGTGCTTCCTGTTCTGTTATCTGAAGTCTGAGTCTGGCGGTCTGTGAAGACACAGTGCCTGCTTCCAGCCAAGCAAAGCAGCCTTTCCTCCAGAGCGAGGCGGTCACCCCTGTCCTCGGCCCTCTGCTTCTCCAGCTGCAAAAGCGGGGCCTGCGCCTCTCCCCGCCACCCCCACCCCAGATCCTGAGATAATGAGCCACTTGGGGGCCATCATTCCGAGGAGTTTGCAACCTGGCCAGTGTTTAAAATCGACACTCAGTTACTGCACGTTTTCCCACACTTTTCATCCCTCCCCTGTAATTCAGGCCACTGAAGAATTAGCATCTCCTTTGATAGCAAAGGGAGCCAACTGCAGCAGTCAGGGAATAGGCCACGGCGAGATCACACAGCGGGCGAAATGTGTGTTGGATGCTCCTGCCTCCTCCCTTTCTCTTGCTCCCTCTCCTGAAGTCGGGAAAGCATCTGAAAATACTCATTTCCAACTTCTTGTGAATTTAAAGTTCTCTTGTCTCTCACAGGGGCTTTATCTGCAGTTATTAAAAAAAAAAAGTTTTGGCCCCTGCTAGAAGTAGCCTTGCATACCCAGGACCTCCCTGCTCGTGGAGCTGGACCCCGTGGGGAGTCCTGTGAGATGAATATCCACAGTTACTCATGTCGGGGACTTTCCCCCAGCCTCGACCTCTCTGCTGGCTTCTCTGTCCTCACCCACCTTCTTAGGCCGGTACCTGGTGACACTCATGGTGACCCAAGAAGGCTGGCCCAGGGGAAGTGGAGACCGGGCTGTGCTGATGATTTATGAAGCCCTGTGGCTTCTGCCTGCTCCACGCGGCCGCTCATCAGAGGGTGCGGCTTGGGTCGCGCGGGGCCCTCAGCAGCTTTGTGGTGGGTATCGGTTTGTGCTTCCTCCCCCTTTGCTTTCGATTCAGTGCTTTCCTGTTGCAGTCTGAGCAGCTCATTTTAACCGCAGCCCCACAGCAGCTACCGCTGCGTGCAAGCTGGGTCC